TGCTGAGCCAGCACGGCCAAGGGTGAACCTGAGAGGGGGCCAAGAAGGAGAAAAGACAGACATTAGAAGAGATCTGGGTCTGGAGAGATAGCAACAGCGTCATGGACTACAAGCCGTGTCTTTATTGTGTAGCAGATGCCACGAGGCCAAGTAAGGGCGTGGGCAAGATGTTTACAACATTCTCGGGGGGTTAGAATCTACTCAACTACATGCACCTGAGCTCTATCAAGCCCACATCACTCAGGCACGTGGGGCCACGTGTTCGGACCACAGGTTCAAGCCCACAACCATAGCTGTTGGCTCTCATTGTGCTGGGAGGGCTTTGTGCTCCAAGCTGGGACTTGCACGTGGCCATGGGAGGATTGTGCCCTCTCATCAGTCCGAGGCTTGGACCTGTCCAAACGCTGTAGCCGCTCCCCACAATATATACTCCATATACACTGAGTGGCCAGATTATTATAATCTATGAATGCATAATAATCTGGCCACTCAGTGTATGTGTACCTCAAATGGGTACCAAAAGTATTCTAGACTTTTGCTGGAGATCAACCACCTATGTGCCCTGAGCTTTCTATCAGCCAGTGCAAAGGGGAAAACCAAGCAGGTGCATGATTTATAGTATCTTTGATATCAAATAAATGAGGTACTCAAGAGAAGTACACTGAGTGGCCAGATTATTATGCATTCAGAAATCATAAAAAGCTGGCTGCTCAGTGTATATGTCTTATCAAAGATTAAAAATACTTGTTTTGCCGAAGCCGGTTTGGCTCAGTGGTATAGTGTCAGTCTGCGGACTGAAAGGTCCCAGGTTCAATTCCGGACAAGGGCATGTACATTGGTTGCGGGCACGTCCCCGGTAGGGGGTGTGCAAGAGGCAGCTGGTCAATGTTTCTCTCTCATCGACATTTCTAGCTCTCTATCTCTCTCTCCCTCCTTTCCTCTCTGTAAAAAATCAATAAAATATATATATTAAAAAAAAAGATTTTCCTTTAAATAAATAAATTAATTAATTAAATACTTGTTTTATTTTCAAGGAAGGGCTTTGAAATTTTCTCTTTTGCCCCCAATTATTCAAAAGGTGAAGTAAAACCTATAACTTTGTTGGACTTTTTATTCAAACAGAGAATTACGAGTCCTTTACTCTTAAAGGAATGCCTGCTTGGAGAGTGAATGATTAAGCTGAGGTGGGGTGTTAGGCTGACAGGCAGGGAGGTTACCCTCCATCTGCGGCTCAGAGGGAGAGCTGCTGCCATCTGCTGTTCCTGTGGTCTCACCCCAGGATCCAGATTCTTTTTTCTCTAATGACAGGAAAGAGTCTGCAGGCCCTTACACTGCAGGAAGGGTGACTAAGTCCTGAACCTACTGCGCTTCTGCTCTGACAGCTCACCCTGCGGGACCTGACCGAAGGCAGGCAGAGGTTCTTACGCTGCCAGTGAACTGAGGACCCAGCAGAGAGAGGTTTGGTTTTGCAACTTGAGAGGAACATCTGTACAGGGACCTGTGCCCGCCCCAGATTCTCTCCTCAGTAACAGGCTGCCCCCTGGAGGGCACATAGGCAGCGTGACCTGCGCTCCCCAAGCTCACTGGGGCCCTGATGGGCACCCTGCCCTGGTTCAGAGTGGCCCGTCTCCTTCCTTTCTCGACTTCGGACAAAAAGGACAGCCACAGCCTCCCCTCTGCCCACGCAGGTGATGAGATTCTGCCACTGAAGATGATGAGGTTTTTTTGTTTGTTTGTTTTTTCTCCCTGAATGAAAGCCTATGAATTAAAAGATGGGGAATGTGAAGTCCAAGTACAAGCCAAGAGCCCTAAATGGGCACTGAAGATAACCCTGATATATTCTGACTATAACTCGGTTTCTATGGATGGAAATTTGATCAAGACAAGTTTATGCACCTAATTCTTTGCTAGAAAGATAATACTGTCTTTAGTGTGCAATGGAATTCCCACAGTATTAATATAAAAAGACCACCAACTGACCAACTGCAACATACATCTGGAAGAAGTCTCTAAGATACTCAAAAAAAAAAAAAAAAAAAAAGAATAAACAATCAAGATAGCATCCCTAATATTTTACATGTGCTATCTCTGAAATAAAATCAATAAAATAGTACTAATAAAACTTCCCTAGATTCAAAGGAATTGCAAGTACAACCCTGGCTGGTGTGGCTCAGTTGGTTGAGCATCATCCCATACATGAAACAGCAGCCGACACATGGTCAGGGTACATGCCTAGGTAGCAGGTTTCATCCTGGTTGGGGTGTGTATCAGGATGAGGAAAAGTGAAATCTATGGTTTAACGTCCTCAGCATCCCTGTTGAATTACAGCATAGAGGAACAGAGTATGTTAAATAGCAACAGCGCAATAATTAACAGTCATGAAAAGGCCCAAGGAGAAAAACAAGCACAGGGGGCATGGGGCCTGCACTGTCTTCTGTAGTAAAAAGAAAACATTAAAACATATAAACGCTCAGAGAAAACGTGCACTATTCACAACAGCCAAAATGTGGAAACAACCCACATGTCCCTCAACATTAAGATGGTGAATGGATAAACAAAATGTGGTATATCCATACAAGAGACTATTACTAAACCGTAAAAACAAATACAGTACTAATACAGGCCCCAAATTAGATGAACCTCAAAAACATTATGCTAAGTACAAGAAGCCAATACAAATTCCCTATATTGAAAAAGGCCAAAAATATATGAATGCAGATAAATAACTTTAGAAACATGCCTTATTTTGTTTACTTATGTTTAATTTCAATGAACACATAGTGTATTATGTGCCAGACACTATTTTAAGCATTCTACAAATATTGACATTCTGCTATAATTTTTGTAGACTAAGAAACAGAGAGGTTAAGTACCTTTCACAAATCACATTGCTAAAGATCTCAGTATACTTCCAGTTTAAAAATTAATATATATAAAGTGTATCTTTAAAATGTAAAGTGAATTTACCAATAATTCTATAAACTAACAATACGGTGAATACTATATTTAGCCATAGAATTAACTCAAAACTGCCATCACAAATATCATTTATGACCAAGTGGCTTATAAGGGTACTAATACCATCATCAGGGCCCCACCCTTGTGAACTCATTTAACCTTAATTATTTCCCAGTGGCCCCATTTCAAAAGCCATAACATAGGGAGTTAAATAATATAAAGCACAGATTTCTGTGGTTAAGCAAGCATAATTTTTTACAAGAAGTAAACATTGGTCTCAAGTGTAAAGAGAAGATAATCTTTGTACCCAAAGTACAAGTCTTATAGAACTTACCTTGGGAAAATATTATTCAACTTCATGATAACAGTATGAAAAGTAATTATAAATCCTGTAAGAAAGCCCCATTATTATTTCAAGAAAACTGTTAAATATTTCTTTTTAGCTTTTACCCTTACCTAAGAGATATTAAAATATAAAGGTTAACTCAATGTACTGTATTGTCAAAGTTCAATATTTCTTAATATTTAAAATTCCTGCTATTATAAACCTGTGTCCATTGTTTCTAACTTTTAATTTGATCAAGGTGCAGTAAAATATTTATAATTTTTATTTCTACACTAAGCAAATGACATACTGAGGTACTCTCTCCAATTCTTCCCCACCTTGAGCATGTGATGCTCTTTGCAGTGGCCATTTCTGCCATGTGACCCTCCTCTATTTGTCCTTTCTTAGTTCACATCATGTCCCTGCCCAACATTCGTCCACTTAGCAAAGGCAGCTGAGGCATCCTCAGTACTCTGCACAGGTGACTACTGTAACATAACTCCACATTCTTCCTCTCAATAAGTATATAATTTGGATCTTTCTGTGGTAGAATGTAAGCAACTTGAGTTCAGACAATGTGTCATTGTCATCTTGGTAATGCCAGCCAGTAGCACGTGGAAACTTGCACATAATAGGCTCACAGGTATGTTCCTGAAAAACTGAATCAGTGTCCTTGCTACTACCCCAGAAAACACCAGATTGTCACAGAGTAGGTAGGGCAGGCCCTCCTAGTTAACAAACAAATGAATTAGTAGTTGGATATATACTTATTATTTAAGGTACTTTTAGGAGTGTTAAATGAATTATCAAATATTAGAAACTATTAGCAAATTATTGTTAAGTCTTGTTACTTGTACTGATTGTGGTTAGGTAAAAAAAATAATATATATGTTGTTAAAAACACATATTGAAGTATTTACAGTGAAATGCCATGGTGCATATGGAAGTTAGTTTAAAATACTTCAACAAGAAAGCAGATATCCAAAAGGATCTCTTTGTGAACTACTTATGGGAGGCAGAAAGGGAATATCGTATTTAGAGAAAAACTATATTTAAGAAAGTAAATTTCAAATATTACATGAAACCAAAAAAATGTGATCAATTATTTATTTCATTCAGGGAAAATAAATTTTTCTTTACATATCTTCTTGAACTTTTTTTGTTATACATGTAAAACCAGTGTTCACACTAATATAAATAAATAATCTAATATCACAACAAAAATAAGATGTATAATTTAGAATCACTTCAGAAATATAGAACCTTTTTCATGTTTATCTTATATCAGCTCTCCATGAGTAAAATTAAAATTGTCACCAATCCATCTTAAAAGGAGCTAAATTCTTGTTAATTATCTGTACTTATATAAGAAAGAAATATTATTTCTTCCTTCTATACTTCTCCTTTGCCACTAACAATTCAAGAAATGATGCTCTGAGTCATTGACATGCTTTTCATTTAAGACATTTGCCAACCCATTCAAGCTCATTTGAGTGGAATAAGGAAAGATAAAAATGCCTGAGAGTCAAGAAGGATTATTTTATAATGTGGTTCATCTCTCTGTGGCAATTTTCCTCAGAAGAGACCGGGCAATGTTTTGTTTTTTTGTTTTTTCATTTGTTTTCAATATCCAATTAGTGTTTTTAATTTTTAATATTTTTTGTAAGTAAAAATAACATTAAAAATCTAATGGGGGAAAATAACTTATTTTCTTTCATTCATGCTCATAAATATCTACACTTCTAGACACATAAATCACTCTCAGTCTTGTGAGTTGTTCTGTTTTCAAGAGGCTTAGAAATGTTGAGAATGCGATTCCAGGAAAGATTAGTTTCTTCTTTATGGACATTCTTGAGCACCTTAAAGTCACTGATAACATGCAAGATGAAGAGCACTACTGCATATATTGTGTCCGTGCTTCCAGGAACTTATAAAAACTAGGATATTCTGTGTACTCGTAATGCACTTTCTTCTTATCTCTTCTTTGGCTAAGTCAGGTAGCCAGTGGCTACCAGCATCATAAACAAAACTGTCAATGTCATAAATGTGTGCCCTGAAAGTTAAAAATAAAAAGTTAAAATCAAAGTAATTTTACTTACTGGTGATAAACATGTAAAGTTATGATATGATAAACAATAGAATATTTGGGGGGTCAAACAATGTAAAATGGTTAAGTTATACAGAATAGACCACCTCAGCCAAGATAAAAGAGCTATCTTATAAGATCCATAAACAGGACTTATAAAATATACTGTACACCCATTTTTAATATTTTCTAAACATTGGAAACTCTGAAAGCCATCAAGCAAAAAAGATAAACAAATACAATAAAGCCCATAATCTCATGATGCAAATAGTTAAATAAAGGCATTCTCATTTGTAGACCTAATGTATCAACCTTTTGTGTGTTTTTTCTCCCAAAATATTTATGTCATTGCTAGCATCTAATCATTACAACAAACTGAGTGCAAAACACAGAATGAGATGATGAGCATATTGCTGAAGTGTTAAGAACTGATGACATGGTCATACTAATGAGAGATTCCATGCTAGTCAATCATTCAAAAACAGAGAAAGAGTGCTGACAATAATAGAGGTTAAAGCCTCTATTATCTTTGATTAGTACCGGACAAACCCTGAGCCGACAGTATTGATGGACATTCTGCAAGAAATGCGACTTTATAGAACTATATACCTTTTGTCATTTACCAGAAGGTCATACTTCTGAGGCATCAACAGTTTCTGTTAAATTATGAAACATAACATTGGGTGCTTTGTTGTTCTCATGGAGGTGATAAATGCTGAATAGTAGAGAGGGAAAACACTAATTGAATTATATAATTCTAACCTGAATCAAAAAGTAGTACCAGCAGTTGCTTACAACCACATCCTCTTTATGAGCTCAAAGGTATGGTACACACCTAACACTTCTAAAAGAAATAAATCTTTCATTGGCAAACACAAGAATCATCAGGGGAAGGTAGAATATCACCTTCAGACTCATGAACTCTTTGCCCTGTCCTCATTAAGATGAAATTTTTAATTACATTGATATGAAAGTTTTAGAAGTGATATGAATTAGGAGAATAACCGGGAATGAGTAAAGTTAACTCTCACTCAAACAAAACAAAACAAAACAAAAAAAAGCAAAATTTTTTCTTAGTTTTTTTTTTTTTTTTTTTTTTTGCCTGAATTTCCTCTTATTTGGAAAGAGAGGAATTAGGAAAACAGTCCCTCTTCTATGGTTCAAGACTTGTCATCCTATCAAAAATATCATGGCCAATTACTTTGCCAAAATAAAGAAACTAGCTAAGAGCTGGAGCAACTTGTACGCTCACCACTTTCCACCTATCTCACCTGGCTTTGGAAGGTAACCCATACACTAGAGATGTAACAAATGGAAGGCAGAGCATAAGGTGGCTGGTTTTCTTTTTTTTCCAGAGCAGTTTTGCTGGGGCATTTGTATCAACTCATGTTAATGACTTAAGACTTGTGTTTGGCTGGGCTTTACGGCCCATTCTTAAAAAGTTCCTGAAAATCTTGAGGAGAAAGTTATATTTTACTACTCTGTGTACGATAGCCTCAAGCCCACTTTATGAACAGGAAAACCTATTTTAGAAATCCAGGACCTAATGGTCTGATATTTGGCTAAAATACTGAACCATTTAGTGATTTAAGGAACATTCATACTTTTACTTTAGCTTATAATAGGCTTCACTCTACTACTTAGCGATATTTGTTAATTTAAGGAGAAAGGAAAGTGTTACATGAGGTAAAAAGTAGATAGCTCACATCTGTCAAAGAATGAAGACAGGCAATTTAGTAACATAAATATAGTTGTTCTTAATTAGTGAATGAAAATGGAGGCATTAGGGAAGTACAGAAATGACTTAAGAGTTTATAGGAACTCCATAATTAGTTTTCTGAACAATAAAATCTACACGATAACAGAAGAAGGTCCATTTATTTATTTGTGTTTACGTTTTTAAGGTATCATGCGTGTTTAATAAGGCTTAAGGAGCTAAAAAACCTCCTGTTTCTCCGACAGGCCTTTGCGCATGATGTTTCCTCGGCCCTGAGGGACAGAAGAGGGTCAATGTAAGTAGTTATTTGTCTGCAGAAGATGCCAGAGCCAACCATGACAATCTACTTCATATAGGAATGTTTAAGGCAGGCCAGATGTTTCAGACCAGACTGTGGTTTTCTCCCCCTATGTGCTACTATTTTACCATCCGAAGGCCTCCTATATGCCAAGTGAGGTTCTGACTTCTTTACAGGTGGAAACTGATTTGATCCTTACTACAATCCCATAAGGAAAGCTCTCTATTTCCCCCATTTTACAGATGGGAAAGCTGAGGCACAGAGAGGTGAAGTTGTTTACAGTGACATGGCACATGGACAGCAGGCACAGGATGGACTGGCATGCATCAATAAATGCAACTCAAATACAGGCCTAATAACAGGAGGTTTAATACTATGTTAGGGGTTGGCTTCTTCCCCCCCGCCCCTCAGATTTCTTTGGTTTTGTGCAACACACATGCTAGTATGCTACCATAAATTGTACTAAGGGAAAGGCAAATCGATTAATAGACTGCAAAGTGAGATTTCGGCTTTCAAATCATTTTCCTTTGAAATGTGGTTAATGTTTTTAAATATATTGAGAAATTAAAAAAAAAAGGCACAAAGTGTGTTTATGGAAGGTAGCCATTATAGACAAAAAGAATAAAGAGAAAGCATGTCTAAAAAGACAATTAAGTGAGGAAAATTATCTATTCATGATAAAATATCAAGTTTTACTGGAAAGAAGCTAAGAGCAAATGTTTTAGTCATCAGAATTTCTGCTCACCCTGTTCTTCCAAAGTTCTCGTAAATTTTGGTTAGAATTACAATAGCAATTATTATAGCACCAACAGTAAGTCCTTGAGAGGAGGAAAAACATGGTAACACAGTTAATAGACATATAATCAATTATATATACAGTGTAATTTCATAAGGACATTGTGAAGCAATAATGTGAGGCAAATTAAGCAAAATATAGAAGACAGAAATTATGTTTTTGCATATGGCTTCTATTGTTACAAGTCTGAGAGTAAAAATTGCATATTAGTTACCCTTTGTTCTGTTTTCTTTCAAAGAAAAATGAAATAAAATATTACAAATAAAGTATTATATTGATGAAATAAAATTAGTTTAAGTTTAAGAAGATTATTAAGTATTTAATCCCATCATGCTTAATTTTAAATGATTTGACCATTGATCTTTCATATTTACATTTCCTCCCCACTCCATCCTCTAAAGTCCTTGAACTCTAATCTTCTGATTTGTACTACAAAGGAAAGTAGAAATGATACTCGAAAAGCAAACTGAAGCCACCCGTTACCTCATTTGATCAGCTCCAATAACTAGCACAGTGCTTGAAAAATAGTAGAAAGTGCTTATAAATATTTATTAAATTGTACTGAATGATATTACTTTTTCCAGATGAGCAAATGGAAGCCTATACAGAGTATCATCTTTATTTTTTTTTAAATCCAAATCAGAATTCATTTCATTAACACAAGTATCATTTCATTAGCACAAGATGTTGTGTAATGAAATGATACTAGTCTTAGTTTCTGAAGAAATATGGGTTCACCCAGTCACTTCAAAAGGTCCCATTTACATCTAATAAAGTAGAAACATATTTCTTATGCTCTAAAATATAAGAAAGTTGTGGATAGATTCAGTTCTTGCTTACAATCTTATATAACAGAGTAAAGGGATTGAATTTGTGGAAAAGTGATGTCACACTAGAAAGAGACTTTTGCCAAAGAAAAAAGAATATGTTTGAGTAAACCTTCAATTTTCAGATTTGTAAGTCAGGTTTCAACACACCTTCCTCAGCAACATTTACAGGATCTTGCTATTAGCACTGGATTTTCTGTGCCTCTCTATTTCTTCAAAAATGTTAAGAAAAATCCACACACTTTCCTTTGCAGACCAAAAAGATCACTGAAAAATTATATGATTATCTGACTTCTTAACTTTGAATGGCAAGTAGGCAATTAAAGTCACTTTATAATTGGATTTAAATTTGTCATGCGCAGACAGGTGTTAAGACACAAAAAAAGGGAACCCTAATACACTGCTGGTGGGAATGCAGACTGGTGCAGCCACTGTGGAAAACAATTTGGAGTTTTCTCAAAAAATTCAAAATGGAACTCCCCTTTGACCCAGTGATCCCACTCCTAGAAATATACCCTAAGAATCCTGAAACACCAGTCAGAAAGAATATATATGTTCATAGCAGCACTACTTACAATAGCTAATATCTGGAAACAGCCCAAGTGCCCATCAGTAGATAAATGGATAAAAAAAAAAACTGTGGTACATTTCCACAATGGAATACTATCCTATATAATAAAAACCTAATACGTAAATCGACCAAACAGAATGACCAGTCGCTATGATGTGCACTGACCATCAGATGCTTAATGTTTCCACAGCGGGAGCTCCACTCAGCCAGAAGCCAGGCTCATGGCTGATGAGCATAGCGGCATTGGTGGGAGCCTCTTCCACCTCCACAGCAGTGCTAAGGACTCTTTGGGGAAGCAGGCCTAAGCCAGCAGGTGGACATCCCCCACGGGTTCCTAGACTGCGAGAGGGTTCAGGTCGGGCTTAGGGACACCCCTCCACCACCAGTGCACGATCTCGTACACTGGGCCTCTAGTACAGCTACAAAATGCAAAAGGTTAGGGACAAAGAGAGAATCTTAAAAGCAACAAGAAAAAAGCAATTAGTTATCTACAAGGTCACTCCTATGATACTGTCAGCTGATTACTCAACAGATGCTTTGAGGCCAGAAGATATTGGCAAGAAACATTCAAAGTGATGAAAAGCAAGGACCTACCAACAAGATTATTCTACCCTTCAAAGTAACCATTTAGAATAAAAGGATATATAATGAGTTTCCCAAACAAGAAAAGCTAAAGGAGTTCCCCACCACCAAACCCATATTACAAAAAATCTTAAAGTGTTTTCTTTAAGAAGAAAAAAAGATAAAGATATAAAGAATAAAATGGCAATAAATACATATCTATCAACAATTACTTTAAATGCAAATGGATTAAATGCTCCAATGAAAAGACATATGAAGGCTGAACGGGTAACAAAACAAGATCCTTACGATGCAGACAGACTGAAAGTAAAGGAATAGAAAAAAGATATTTTATAAAAATGGAAACAAACAAAAAAGCTGGGGTAACAATAATTATACTAGGCAAAATATAATAGATTTTAAAACATAGATTATATAATAAAAAATAAACAAAGAAAGACCCAGTAATTGCATGTCTGGATATTTATCTGAAGAAACCCAAAGCACTAAGTGAAAAAGACATATACGTCCATGTGTTCATTACAGTATTATTTACAATAGCCAAATGTGCAAGCAAACTAAGTGTTGATCAATAGATGAATAACTAAAAAAGTGGAATATGACTCAGCCATATAAAATAATGAAATCTTGCCATTGTGCTGAGTGAAATAAGTCAAAGGAAGGTGGATGCCATATGATTTCACTTATATATAGAATCTAAAAAACTAAACAAATGAACAAGCAGAACAGAACTAGACTCATAGATACAGAGAACTTTTGATAGTTGCCATGGGAGGAGGGGTGTTTGGAGAAATGGATAAAAAGGTGATGTGATTGAAAAGTATAAATTGGTAGTTTCAGAATAGTCAATAAAGTCAATAATATTGTGATAACTATGTCTGTTGTCAGATGTGTATTAGATTTATCAAAGTGATCACTTAGTAAGTTATGTAATGTCTAATTACTGGTTGTATACCTGAAATTAATATAATATTATATGTCAACTGCAAATGAAAAGTAAGAAAAACAATGATTTAAAATAAATGTCACTCTAGATAATTTTTTTTTCAGGTTTATATTTTACAAATATAGGATCACAAATAAAAATATTACTAGAAGTCTGATTTAAAAGAGAAGAAATTGCTCTTTACTTTTGAGAATGATTTAGAATTACAATTAACTCTAAAAAAAAGCTTTCTGAGAAATCACATAATATATACTTTAGGAATTTCAAGAGAAAATAATAAGCATTTCAAACCTTTATTGAACAACACTGAGCAGATGAAAACATCTAATCTATTAAACACATCACTGTTGTCAACATTAAATCATGACATTCATTTATAATACATTTTATTTCTATTTAAAATATAAAATAAACAAATTGAATTCTGACAGAATTTTTCAAAATAAATCTTTTAGTTTTAAACTTTAGGAGACATTTATTCAAAATATAAAAGAACTAACAAATTATTAAAAAAAATAATTTTATAATACCTATTTTCAGATTTATAGTCCCTTGGCTAATTCATACATACATAAAACAGAAGCCTCCAGATTATAAGGACACTAGAGGCCCGGTGCACAAAATTTGTGCATGGGGGTATGTGTTCCTCAGCCCATCCTGCACCCTCTCCAATCTGGGACCCCTTGAGGGGTCACAATCCAGGACTGCTGGCTCCCAACTGCTCGCCTGACTGCCTTCTTGATTGCCCCTAACTGTTTCTGCCTGACAGCCTGATTACCCCCTAACCACTCCTCTGCCAGCCTGATTGATGCCTAACTGCTCCCTGCCAGCCTGTCTGCCCCTAACTGCCCTCTCCTGCAGTCCTGGTCTCCCCCAACTGCTCTCCCCTGCAGGCCTGGGTCCTCCCCAACTGCCCTTCCCTGCAGGCGTGGTTACCTCCAACTTCCCTCCTCTGCTGGCCTGGACATCCCTAACTGCCCTGTTCTGCAGGCTTGATTGCCCCCAACTGCCCTCCCTTGCAGGCCTGGACCCTCCCAACCGCCCTCCTCTGCTGGCCATCTGTAGCAGCCTTCTTGTGTCCATATGGGGCAGCCATCTTTGTGTGTTGGAGTGATGGTCAATTTGCGTATTACTCTTTTATTAGATAGGATAATTTTAAAATATACTTTTTTTTTTTTTTTTTTTTTTTACAACAGTGTATTTTCTATTGAATGTTACCTATCAATATGCAAGTTTAACTGTAGTGCTTCTTAACAAACATTTCTCTTAGCATCTTCTTTGGAAGTTTATTAATCTTATTGTTGATATATAAGATTAAGTATATTTATGGATAAAATAAAGGACTTGGACCAAATGCAAAAATAAATTGCAACACAGATAGATGTTTTTGTCCTCATGCCTAATGCAACAGAATATTTTTTAAAAATAATTTTGCTTTCAATCACTGATAGGGAAGGGAAAAGAAAGAACATGTAATCAAAGGTAGCACTCTTTTGTTTTATTTGAGTATAGGACAGAAATCTAGAAATGGTCAAGAAGTAATTTCTTGAAGAGGTCAGCAGAGTGGGGGAAGGGGACATATGTAATACTTTCAACCATAAAGATTAAAAATAACAACAAGAAATCATTTCTGATTAATTATAAAATACTCGAGAAACTGTATTATTAACAATCTTTTCTTGTCATTCTTTGGACCCTAGAATGAAACCTTAAAACAATAGGCATGTAATAATATTTGATTGCTTGGCCCAATGATTTGAAGTGCTCATAATATTGCTTTGGAACAAGAACATGGTTGGGAATAGTACTTAGAAACATACTGAGTACTTAAAGGTATCCAAAAACATGATAAATTTACCTGTTTTCTCTTTGAAATCCTTATACCCAGACTTTTAACAGTATGCCCAAGACAGTTATAACACAATATTCTCATCCAGTAACATAGGATGTACCTACAACAGTGATGACAATCAATTTTAACTGTCAAGAAGTCAGACTTACCAGATGCAATGACAGGCACCCCTAAAAAAGAAGAAAATTAAAAAAGATCACTAAAGTTATTTATTTGCTACAAATTTAATATATATATAAACTGAACTTGAAAACTCAAAAGTAAGTCATATTTCTATAACTGAAAGAAATAATTATAAATAAATTTATGAAAACAATTACACATTATGAACAATCAAATAAAATGCACATCAGTGTCTATATCTATTCAGCAAGTTAACATTATAAACAGTAAACATGATAAAGAGTTACTGAATACTGGAACTAACACTGTGTGAATTTGGTTATATGATCTGAAGACAAGAAACAAGTTCAGAAGCTTAAATAGTAACTACTGATCTAATCCTATGGTCAAGAAACTATCAGAAACTGAAGATTTTTTCAGCAGACGTTATCAAAACTTAAATTACTATATGAGCTTATTATTTAAACCTTTCAATGAATACAAGTGAGGCATTGCAAAAATTACTTTCAAATAAATAATTTGTAATAATTAATACATTGCTCTCTTCAATAAATGGTCCGGGAAAATTGGAAGTAACATGCAAAAGAATGAAACCGGATTACAGTTTGTCCCATGTTAAAAAATTAATTTTAAATGGATCACAAAATAAAATAAAATAAAATAAAATGGATCACATACCTAAATATAAGATCTGAAGCAATAAATTACATAGGAGAAAACATAGGTACCAAACTTATAGACCTTGATCGTAGAGAATGTTTTATGAACTTGACCCCAAAGGTTACGAAGTGAATGTAAAAATAAATGAATGAGACTACATTAAACTAAAAAGCTTCTGCACAGAAAAAACAAACAAACAAACAAACAAAACATACACATACACACACACACACACACACACACACACATACACACATACAACAAAACAAAACAAAACAAAACAAAACAAAACAAAACAAAAAGGACAGCAAAACAAAGGCAGCCAACCAAATGGGACATATATGCAAACAATAACTCCAACAAAGATTTAATATCTAAGATATATATTTTTTAAAATGCACAAAACTCAATATCAAACAAACAAACAAACAAAAAAACCCAACCCAATTAAAAAATGGGTAGAGGATCTGAATGGACACCTCCTCCAAGAAAACATACCAACAGACAACAGATATATGAAAATATGTTCAACCTCACTAGCAAATAGAGAAATGCAAATCAAAATTACAATGAGATGCCACCTCACATTTTTTTTATAATGGCCACTATCAACAAAACAAGTAATAACAAATTCTGCACAGGTTGTGGAGAAAAGGGGACCCTTATTCACTACTGGTGGGAATGTATACTGGTACAGACACCCTGGAAAACAGTATGGCAGCTACTCAAAAAATCAAGGCTAGAGCTGCCATATGACCCAGCAATTTTTCTTCTGGGTTTATACCCCCAAAACTCGAAAGCAGGTATGCAACCCTAATTCATTGCAACATTATTCACAATGGGCAAGTCATAGAGATAGCCTGTGTCCTGTGATAGAGGATTGAAAAGGGAAGATGTGGCACATATACACAGCTCATAGAACACTACTCAGCCATAAAAAATAAAAATGAAATGAAATATTGCCATTTGTGATGACATGCATGAATCTTGAGAATATTGTGCTAAGTGAAATAAGTCAAGCAGAAAAAAACTAAGAATCATATGATTTCACTCATTTGTGGGATATAAATCTGATACTCATGAACACAAACAGCAGTGTGGTGGTTGCCAGATCAAAGGGTGTGGGTGGAGTGAAGAGATCCTAATATATGGTGATGGCATGTGATTTGACTTTGGGTGGTGGGCACCCAGTGCAGTTTTCAGATCATGTAACGGAAATCCTCACCTGAAACCTATACGATCCTATTAAACAATGTCACCTCAATAAATTTAATGTTTTTAAAAAGTTATGAAACCACACATGAATGTGTTCTTCCTGGGCGTTAACTTCAATAAAAATGTTAAAGTAATGTTTTTTAAATTTATCTCCTGGCTCAGTTCTATTGAGATTGCCCAAGGAACAACATAAAATAAAACAAAATAGGCATCCCAATTGGAGAAGAATGTGTATAAAAATGGCTGTCCATTAGGCAAGATGTAGGACAAGACGACATCCTAGTGGTCTGAAGCAGCATTAATAAGCAAGATGGGTTTCCTAGGGTCATTCAACAGGCAGTTCTAAAGTCTATAGCACATTGTACTTCCAGTGCCTTTGTTTAAGGAGCCCTGCATTCATATGAGCTATGTCAAAAAACTGTGTTTTCAGTTCCTTAGAAGATACTGTTGAGATGCTTTACCAAATTAGCAACTCTAGGGAATCTGGAGAGATCTTTTAGCATGCTTGAGGGATGGGTCTCTAACCATGAACCAGACCCAGAAAACAACTTCAAGGATGGCATTATAGTTGGTTCTTTGAAGAGTCTTGAAAAATTCAACGACTCCCTAAAGAAAACAGAATTTCTTCACCGACCTTAACTTAGCATTGTTTTAATGGGGCCACACCTTTTTCTATATTATTGCAAAATGTTTCCTTTTTTTTTTAAAAAAAAAAGATCTGCTCTACCACAATCCAAGTCTGCCTCTGAGGAAAGTCCAAAATGTTAGTATGCAAACACCTCTGACTACAGCAAATCCCAGAATATGTAATTACATAATCCTGGTCAAATTGACATTTTCCACCCTCGCACGTTGGACCCACGTACACTCTGGAACCTGAGCAGTATCAGCTCACCTGCTGTAAGGAATCCACTTCCTTTAGAGGTGCTTTGTCGCGTGAAAACAATTTGATTCTGGGTTACTGCAATGTGAGCAGAGGTCAATCTTTGGGTTGTATAGTGGCCCTTAGTCATTGGGGCATGTACAGTAGAGAATTTTTGTGTTACTGGAAGACTCTGTGCATAGGAAGCTTTTGCTGTTGTGAAGCTCTGGGGTTTTGATGTGGCTTGTGTAGCAGAAGCATTTGTCATGAGGAGAGTCTGGACTGTGAGTTGGATCTCTGTCGATAGAGCCTTTGAGACAGAAGTTTTGACTATAGTGGCTGAGTCACTGGCTGCGAAAGGTTTCTGAGAAGTTGTTGGGGCATCCATAGCTAGAACAGGTAAGGTGTCTTTCTGAGGTGATAGGAGCACTTTTGTAGTTGAAGAACTTCTTGTAGTGAGATTCTGAAGAGTTGGTGTGCCTTCCGTAGATGGGACATTAACTGTGGTGGGTTTTTGAGAAGTAGATGGGGCTTCCGTAGCTGGAATAGTTACTGTGGTGTGTTTTTGAGGAGCAGATGGGGATTTTGTAGCTGGAATAGTTACTGTGGTGTGTTTTTGAGGAGCAGATGGGGATTTTGTAGCTGGAAAAGTTACTGTGGTGAGTTTTTGAGGAGCAGATGTGGATTTTGTAGCTGGGATAGTTACTGTGGTGGGTTTTTGAGGAGCTGAAGGGGCCTTTGTAGCTGGAACATTTATGGTGGTGGGTTTTTGAAGAGTAGATGGGGATTTTGTAGCTTTAACATTTATGATGGTGGGTTTTTGAGGAGCAGATGGGGCCTTTGTAGCTGGAACATTTATGATGGTGCGTTTTTGAGAAGCAGATGGGAACTCTGTACCTGTAACATCTACAGAGGAGGTTCTTTGAGTAGTTGACTGGGTTCTGGTACTTGGAACATCTGTTGTGCTGGGTTTCTGAGTAGTTGTAGGAATTTCTGTGGAGGAAAAATGTTTTTAAAACATTAGCAAAGGCATGCTCTTAAGATTTAGGAACCAACTGCTAACTCAACGACTCCTCTTTCTCACCCCACAAGCACACCTAAACATGACAATTAGTCATCCAAGTCTTGTGTATTTCCCAAGGATCTAAAATGCTACACTGTTTTTTGCTTCCACATAAATTTTACCTGTAGGCAACTAAGTACACCAAAGCAGTACTGAGGTACTTAAACTGTTCTCTGTGTGGAGAAAGGAAACGGAAGTCCGAGTTCCAGTGACCTCATTCTGTGACACACCCCAGACAAACATATTTTCTCTCCTACATAGTCTTCCTTTGCTCATGCTGAGACCAAAGAGCAGCAGGATGCAAACACTGGACCAATAGAGATAATCACAACAGAGACCATCACAGAGTTCTGTTTTCTGCAGCTCTCCGGACATGGTAGTGACCTTGAAACGTCTCTTGCTTCACTTCTTTTTGGAAGTAATAAAGCCAGGCAGAATAAAACAACTCCCCTTTTTTCTCTTCTTGTGATGGTTACCAACTTTACACACATTCGATTAGTTCCTCTTTGGATTTTAGGTGAGCTAACCAATGTCTGAAGCACAAGTTTCAGTTAAGACCTTATGCTGAGAAGCACACATAACAACACAGTAAAATGTTAGGTCTTCAAGACCATTTAACTGTTTGTTTGTTTTTGTAAATATATTTTTGATAGTATTATATTACAAATTTCTCCTATTTTTTCCCCCATTTACCCCCTCTTCCAGCCCCTCTCTCCTCCCAGGTCTTTACTACTCTACTGTCTGTGTCCATGGGCTATGCACATAAGTATATAAGTTTGTGGTTTATCTCTTCTTGACCCCCAAACCCCACATTGAGGTATGTGAATCTGTCCCATGCTTCCCTGCTCCCAGTCTTATTTTGCTGGCCTGTTCCTTTTGTTCAATTAGATTCCACAAATAAGTGAGCTCATGTGTAGTTGTCTTTCTCCCTTTGGCTTATTTCACTTAGCATAATATTTTCCAGATTGCATATGCAAACGCCCTCTTAAGGCGGAACCGAATAGTGTTTAGGCCTGTTTCACAGCATCCTAGAAACCAAGTTCCCTAATCCCTCTGAACTTCAGTTTCCGCATATAAAATGAGGGTGAAAACAGAGCAGGCTGTGTGACCTCACTGTAAGGGATGAGGGAAATAATTTGGGTAAGTTATTTCCCACAGTCGGTCCCTGAAGCCACATCTTACATCACCCAGCACTACTAGTGCCAACAGCATCGGCACACATCCTGCCCTAGACACTCAGATGTTGTGTCATGTATCGCTACATCCTTTACCTACCTCATAGGATGCTATTTCAGGGGTGGGGAACCTTCTGCCTGCAGGCCGTATAAGGCCCAGAAAAAAATTGGTTTGTCCCGCCAAGGCATTAGGGGTGAGTTAATATAGCAGGCTAATTTTAAAGCTGTTCAAATACAGCAGGCTAATTTTAAAGTTGATAATATTGTGTGGCCCATGAACGATATTATAAATATCCAAATGGCCCTTGGCAGTAAAAGGTTCCCCACCCCTGCCAGGGATAACAAGTAAAATACATAGCAGGTGACACAGCCCTCAGCAGGCACCCAGAAAATGATAGGTTTTATAATTAGGGTAAGTAAACTTTTCACATGGACTTTTCATCTAAGGCCATCATTTGTACAATTTGTTTTGTGCTTCCAAGTTCTCCTTTTTGATCCAAAGGACTTTGTAATACTGCAGTTTAAATCTCCTGGAAATTACTTTTCTAGTTATCTTTTTATTGGAGGTCTACTTTCATTCCACAGGGGTCAGAAAGCATGCTCTGAGTAACTTCAATCTTCTTAAATGCATGGTGTTTTAGAGCCCAGCATATTGTCAATATTTTGTGTAATTTAAAAACAACACTTTTAGGGTTCAATAGTTTTATCTGTTGTTGTTTTTTTTAAGTTTAATTGTTGGTCGTGTCTTCTATATTCTGATCTTTGGTTACCTATTGAGAGAAAGATGCGGGATTCTCAAACTATAACTGTGGAGTTGTCTATTTTTCTTTCTCCCCATCTCTGCTATATATAGACTGAAGCTATTTTTTTCAAGAGCACATAGAGTTCAGATTGGGACATACTCCGGTGGAACTGACCTCTTTATGATGATTAACTCTTTTATTTTAAAGTATGCTTGGATACTAATAGAGTGGCACCAGCTTTTTATTTTCTGGTAACTGTTTGCATAGCATATTTTTTCCATCCTTAACTTTCACCTGTTCAGTCTTCTGATCATTAAACTGTGGCTCTTATCAATAGCAAATAGTTAACTTGTACTTTATTAATCTAGTCTGACAATATTAGTCAAATCACAATGATCAAACACATTACTATCAGTATTCTATCCCATCCATCTATGTTATGTTTTCCTTTTTAAATTGATTTTTTTTAGAGAGAAAGAGGAGGAGAGAGAGAGAGAAGGAGAGAAACATAGATTTGTTTTTGCACTTATGAATGCATTCATTGGTTGATTCGTGTATGTACCCTGACTGGGGATCAAACCTGCAACCTTGGTGTATCTAGATGATGCTTTAATCCACGGAGCTACCTGGCCAGGATTTATTTTATATTTCTTTTTTCACTCCCCCTGTTCTTGTTGCTTTTTGGATTCCTTATCATTCCTTTGTTAGTTTGTCATTTTTATATTCTTTTATCATTATTTTCAAGACAACCCTAGATATGACAGTATTAGACTATAAGTCAATTAGGCAGATTAATTCTTCTACCACTTTTTAGTACTGCGGGAACCTGGGAACCTTTACATCGAAGTGACCCCTTCCTGTCTTTTGGGTTATTGCTATTGTATGTCTGTATTCTACATACAGTTCAAACCCCACAAGATGCTGCATTTATTCTCTCAGTATTTATTTACTCTTGTCACTGTTCGTATTCCCTTGTATTTTCATGTTTTACTTTTTTTTGTGTGACTCTGTGCTTTTATTAATATTTGTTTGAGTTTCCAACTAATCTTAAAATGTATATGGAATCACAAAAGACCCTAAATAACCAAAGAAATTTTGAGAAAGAACAAGGTGGGAGGTATCACACTCTCTGATATAAAACTATACTACAAATTTATAATAACCAAACAATGTGTTCTGGCCTAAAAACAGATATATAGAGTGATGGACTACAATGGAGAGCCCAAAAGTAAATCCTCGTTAATACAGTGAATTAATTTACAAAAGGAGGCAAGGATATACAATTGGTTAAAGAGAGTATGTTCATTTTGTATAGGTCCAGAGACACAGAAGCATGGAACAGACTGTTAAATCTTAGAGGGAAGGCAAGGCTGGGTGGGTGGATGGGAAGAGATAAACCAAAGAACTTGTATGCATATATGCACAACCCATGGACAGACAATATGGTGGTGAAGGCCTGGGGGGAGGAGACAGGGGAGGACTAGAAGAGGTCAATAGGGGAAAAAGAAGGGGACATCTATACTTATTTCAACAATAAAGATTAAAACTAAATAAAAATAAAGGCAGTCTGTTCAATAGTGCTAGAGGGAAACCTGAAAAGATACATGCAAAAAAAAAATAATAAAACTGGATCACTTTCTTATATCATATACAAAAGCAAACTCAAGACGGATTGAAGACTTATGCATAAGACTTGAAACTATAAGACTTATGGGACAAAACATAAGCAGTGAACTCTTTGACACTGTTCTTAACAATATCTTTTTGGGTATGTCTCCTTAGGCAAGGGAAACAAAACAAAACAATAAAGCAAATATGACTACATCAAACTAAAATATTGTTGCACAGCAAAGGAAACCATTGACAAAATGAAAAGACAACCCAGTGAATGGGAGAAGATACCAGCAATTGATTCATCCAATAAGGGTTGAATATTCAAAAATAAATTATAAACTTATACAACTTAACACCAAAAAAACAAACAATCCAATTAAATAATAGGCAAAGGACCTAGATAGAAACTTCTCCAAAGAGGATATACAGATCGCCAACATACATGTAAAATGATGCTCAACATCACTGTTCATCAGGAAAATGCAAATTAAAACCACAATGAGATATTATCTCACAGTGGTCAGAATGACTATCATCATTAAATCAACAAATAACAAGTGCTAAAAAAAAAAAGTGCTGGAGAAGCATGGAAAAAAAGGGAACTCTTGTGCACTGTTGATAGGATTATAAATTAATGCAGCAACTTTGGAAAACAGTAGGGAGATTCATCAAACAATTAAAAACACATCTGTCATATGATCCAACAATTCCACTTCTGAATATTTATCTGAAGAAAAAGAAAACATTAGCACCTTTATGTTTATTGCATCATAACTGGTAATAGCCAAGATATAGAAGCAACCTAGGTGTCCATTAACCTAGGTGAATGGACTAAAAAAGATGTGATGTGTGTGTGAACATGAACATGAATATTATTTAGCCATAAAAACATCTTGCCATTTGCCACAGCATGGATGGACCTAGAGGGCATTATGCTAAGTAAAGTAAGTCAGACAGAGAAGACAAAGGCCATATGATTTCACTTATATGTGGAATCTGAAAAACAAAACAAAACAAATGGATAAACAAAACAGAAACAAACCAATAGATATAGAAAACAAAATGATGGTTGCCAAAAGAAAGAGGATAGGGATGGAAATAATTTTAAAATTTTTAAATAAAAAAAAATAGAAATAGGAAATTTAAGCTAATTCACTAAAAACTTGGGGCATATATGTATGTATATAAATGTGTATATACATAAGTATATAAAACTTCCTTTTTAGAACCCTCTGAAAATCTGATGAAAAATTGTGCTTCCCAGAAAAATGCAAATATGCTTATGTACAATTCTTTCTCATGGAGTGAATAGAATCTCTGAAGCCCGTATGTGGACCTGACAATAAAAATATAGCTGTGTAAACTGATTAGCTTTCCATTCAGGCCACTCCATTTTCCTTGGCCAAGTTTACTTTACAATGCAATAAATAGAGTTGTCTCCAATTAGGAAGAAGCCTTTGTACTACCTTATCTGTTATGCAAAGTTTATATTCATGAGCTCTGTTGACCTTTAATTTTTCATTGCTAATTTCTGGTGGCTCTGGACAAGAAATTATTTGGAAAAATTTCCACATATTTTCAGTTAATAAAATTTAGCTGTATTTTTATGATACGTAAGATCAAAATGTGTTAAATATTTTATTTAAAAACATTAAGATCTTTTTAAATAAAATATTTATTTTTAGCATTTCTCAGCATTATCAGTGAGGGATACTTATACATACCTATTAAGTAATAGGTAGTATATTTAGAGTTTGGGATATAAATGCTGTAAAATATGAATGCTAATTTTAAGACCAAATTATAGAAATGTCCTGTGTAGATGAACAATGGAGGTTTGATCTGAGAAAGGTGTTGCTAAGCAGTTTGGTCATGGTGGGAACATCATAGAGTGCACTTACACAAAACTAGACGGGATAGCCTCCTGCACACGTAGGCTCCATTATAACCCTATGAAACCGTCATTGTAAGTGCAGTCCCTCATTGACTGGAATGTCATTAGCAGCACAGGACTGCAATAAGATTTAGAACACACGCATAAAACAAACATTACACATCACCACCGTTTGTCCACCAACCAGATCTGAAATAGCATGGCTGACATGAACACATAAGGAACTATTTGACATTGAAATTGGGACTCAAAAGAACTGTTGGCCCAGAAAGGAACTCACTACAGACTGATTCATTTGCCTCTCAGCATAACCATTATGGCTTTTCTCAGTTTAGGTTCTTACAAGGTTATTTCTTAGATCACATGATCTCACACATCTAGAGGAAATTATGAACAACATAGACTGATGAACAAAAACAGACCCAGAGAAAGAAAAGCAGCGAACAGACTTTTAAACCTCAGAGGGAAAGTAGGAGAAGGTGGGGGTAAAGGGGAAGAGATCAACCAAAGGACTTGTGTGCATGCATATGGGCCTGGCCAATGGCCATGGACAACGGGGGTGGGTGGGGGAGGGAGATGGCATATGTAGGGAGGGGTTTGGGATGGGATTGGGGGGATGAGGACAATTATGTGATACCATAATCAATAAAAAAAAAATTACAATTAAGTTTGTGTGCGTTATCTATCAAACAGGTTCTGAAAAAAGTAAAGGGGTTCAGGGGCCAAAATATAGGACAGAGACTTTAGAGAGTAAATGGAACTTGAGTTTAAACCCAAGATGTACCCTTATTCTAAGACAGAACTGAGAAAAGGGCATTGCTTTGGGGAAATGATATAAAATAAAAGACACTGGGTATTCAAATAGCATACTTGGGAAATAGGAATAGATCATTGGGATAGACCAAAAGATCTTAAATGTCCCACTTTGATTCTGACATTTATAATACAAATCTTTAAGCATGTACTGACTCACAGTCTTTTATTTAAAGCAAATCTTATTGAGTGGCTGAGTTTGTAAAACATATATTAGCAGAATTACTCTAGTTATATTGTAAACAGAGGCCTGCCCCTAGTAGATGCCCCAATAAAAGCTTCAATGATTCCACATTCTATAAAGCCATGATGTTGTTCCTCTCTTTTATTTAAGCAGGAAAGTAATGTGATCCCATGTGGACATCAAATTATATTCAACAAATGTCCTTATTAACCCAGAGAATACTAACAACTTTATAAATTCACTGTAGGCCATTAATCAAAGCAAGGAGCAAATCAGAAGTAATCTGATTTACACTAGGATAGGGTATGTGACGACCACCATATGATCATCAGTTCAGTTCACACATTTTCTGAGCACCTAATACACACCAGGCATTGTCCTGCATATAGAAGTTCAAAACAGAATAAGGTATCATTCCTATGTCTTCAAATATATTTAGGAGGGAAAGAGATTTAAAGATAGAATTTCAATACTAATTGGTGAGGATTAACACAAAAGCATGCACAGTGGTGTGGAAAGAGAGAAGGACAGTTAACCAGCTTGGAAGGTCAGACAAAGCTTCTAGAAACACAATCAGAGCAGACCCATACTAAGAAGGAAAAAAAACACACTCAATCAACCAAGCAAAGAAGGAACAACAGGAAGAGCATGAGGTACACAGAAAACTATTGTAGTCTGAGTGGTTAGAGCATAAAGTACGAGGGCCTGACACGAGAGTGGAGAAGTAGGTAGACCGCGGCCAGCCTGTACATTATACCAAGAAGTTTGGAGTTTGTAAGTGATGAGGAGACACTAAGAAGCTACGTTGAGGAGCACATGAGACTTGGTTGGGAAGTTTGTAAGGAGGACATTCGAGAAAAGGGAAGTGTGCTGAAGGTGGCCTGTTTATGGCACCCCTAATTATTCCTTGATTTTTCCAAACAAGTCTGTGTATGTGCAGGCCCCCAGGTGTTTACAGGAATCCTTATGCTTAATCTTTGGGTGTCCTTGCTTAAAGGACACTGCAAACACATGTTCTCCCAAGATTACTTACCCTACTGGCTGTATCTAAAAGATAAACTTTATCTCAAACTACTTAACAAGGCAGGTGATCGAGGCTGTCTGGTTCCTTTGGCCAGGCAGTCCCTTAGCCCTCTCTTTCACAGCAATCCTGGGTCAGAGTAATCATTCACCTGTCACTCAGGGTCTGCTGGCCAGCCCCAACAAGATATAAACGAAAGACAAGCCATGTTCGTGTTTCAGATGGATAACTCCGGGTAGAGTGTAGATGAAACAGTAACAGAGTACAAGAATGAAGGCGGAGGCCATTGCAATCAGTATAACTTTTGAACTCAGGCAAGTGGAACTCCTGTCCTAGCTCCCATACTTTAAAAGGCGATGCTCGGCCCTCCTCCGGGAGTGCCTCTCTCCCACTAGATGAGGGATTTTCAGGGCTGACAAGATGAGTCCATTGAGGGTTCCTCCCCCATCCTATTTTGTCTGACTGGTAGGAGAAATGGCAACATAATAAATGACCAACCACAACACAAATTTTAGTGTTGTTGTTGTTTTTTTAAAATATATTTTATTGATTTTTTACATAGAGGAAGGGAGAGAGATAGAGAGCTAGAAACGTTGAGGAGAGAGAAACATCGACCAGCTGCCTCTTGCACACCCCCCACCAGGGATTTACCCGCAACCAACGTACATGCCCCTGACCGGAATCGAACCCGGGACTCCTCAGTCCGCAGACCAACGCTCTACCACTGAGCCAAACAGGTTTCTGCTTTAGTTTGTTTTTAATGCTTTATCTCCAAAGGTAATAAATTACAAAAACATGGTTGCACCCACAACTGAGGCGAAGTTCCCATAAGGAGCCTTAACGAGCAATCAGCAGGGACCTGAGGCTATGCCCTTCCCTACCCCCGTGGGGCTTGGCAGGAGACCTCAGGCCGCACCCCCCACCCTAGTGTTAGGCTGGGGGACCTCAGACTCCATCTCCCACCCCAGTGCCAGGCCAGGGGACATGAGGCCATGCCCCCAGCCCAGCAGGGCTTGACAGGGGACCTCAAGGTGCACTTCCTGTCCTGGTGTTGGGCTAGGGGATCTCAGGCTGCTGCCCCAGCTCCAGGCCAGGAGACTTCAGGCTGCACCCCCCACCAGGTGGGGCTTGACAGGGTACCTCAAGCCAAGCTCCCCACCCCAGTATCAGGCCAGGGGACCTGAGGCTGTGACCCTGTCTGGCTGGGCTTGACAGGGGACATCAGGCCATGCCCTCCCACCCAGTGGACTTGACGGGGGACTTCAAGGTGCACCCCCAGTGCTGGATGGGGGTAACTCGGGCCGTGTCCCCACCCAGAGGGGCTTGACTGGGGACCTGAAGCTACATGCTTCCCCTTCCAGTGTTGGGCCAGACAACCTGAGGCTGCACCTGCCCCCCCACCTGGCAGGACTTGAAGAGGGAACTCAGGCCATGCCCTCCCCGCCCCCCCGCCAACAGGGCTTGACAGGGGATCTCAGGCGGTGTCGCACATCTGGCAGGGCTTGATGGAGGACCACAAGGCACACCCCTACCTCGGTCTTGGCTGGGGGACCTCAGGCCATGCTCCCTGTCCTGGCGCTGGGCCAGGGTACCTGAGGGTATGCCCCTGTCTAGTTGGGCTTGACAAGGGTGAGACTGGCTGGGTCTGGATCTAGCCCAATTGGGGAATGGGGGACCTGGTTCTGGGTCTCATGGGATTTTGAGGTGCATGTGGGTGTGCAGGGACTTGACTCTGGGTCCCATGGTGCGCCCCAGACCCTGACAGGAGGAAGGTTTTCATATACATTTTACTAATTTTTTTCATCTCTGACATTTCTATTGATATTATAGAGAAAAGGCAAATAGCAATATTAAATTATTTCTTCTAATTAATCCCCTTTTAATGTGCACAAATTTCATGCACCGGGCCACTAGTTACAAATAAAAGTCTTTAAATTAGCTCAGACACACATTAGAAGGTAAGGGTACTACAAATATACACTGTGAATAATTCTTAATGCACAGAAAGTAATTTGTCATTGATAATTTAGCCCCACAATGTGAGTGATTAGATTTTTTCAGTCTTACCTTGACACTCTGGAAATGGATTTTCCCAAATCATATTATCTCCTTCATAATCACAGTAAGTAGAATTTACACCAACTAATTTGTACCTAAACAATGAGAGGATGAGAAAAGTTGTGTTCTCTTAAATTCTCCAGAATACCATCTTAAAATATTCACTGTACCAGTAGATGGAGACAAAATAATAGTTGATAAAAGTTCATATGGTACTGTATTTCCGGCGTATAAGATGACTTTTGAAACGAAAAAGTCAACCGAAAATCGGGGGCAAAAGACCAAAATTGCACAAAAATTACCTGCAGATCTTGACGGCAAAGTAAGTCTTTTCTTTGAAGTGGGGGGTAGTCTTATACAGCGAATATAGGCCTAAACCTATGTTTAAACTGTAAAATTAGGGGGTCGTCTTATACGCTGGAAAATACATAGTTTAAAGAAAAAGAAAAAATTAAATTTAAAAAAGTGACATCCAAAAGATAATTATAAAACATGCAAAACATTTCTTATTTGGGTGGGCCATAATTTAGAAAATATTAAAGTGTTTTAAAAGACTTTCAATTTATATAGGTGCTTGAATATTTTCTAATCTGAATTCTCAAAGATCAATACAGGCTTTATAGAATAATAGAATATATAATACTTATACCTAAAGGGTTCAAAGTACCCCCAGATTTGATATTAATGATTTAAATATCTGTTTATAGTACAGGAGATAAGTGATGCTGACATTATTTTATAAAAAATGGGCAAACACACAGAGTAAAATATCATAATTCAATTTGCAGATATTAAATGAGAAAATGAATATAAAGTTTTCAGCAGTATCTGAGACACTGATAATACTCAATGAGTGAGGCCCTTTTCTCTACATAGAGAACTTATAATAGACCTTAGGTCAGATGATATTGTAACACTAGGACTACATGTTTTAACATAAGATATTTTATAACAGATTGGTTGCATATAAAAACATATTAATATGATCTCACTCATTTGTGGAATATAATGAACATACACTGATGAACAAAAACAGATCCAGAGAAAGAGAAGCATTGATCAGACCTCAGAGGTAAGGGGGAAAGATCAACCAAAGGACTGTATGCATGCATTTAAGTCTAATCAATGAACACAAACACCAGGGGAGTGAGGGCATGAGTTGGGAGGTGGAAGTGGGGGGCAATGGGGTGATAAGGACACATATATAATACCTTAATCAATAAAGAAAAATAAATACATGCTAAAAACACATGCAAATTTATCATTTAGGTAAATTAAAGACTGATTTCATTTAACTCTGAGATTTAATTTCTGTAAGTAATTTCCTTTACTAATGACATTTAAATTTTTATAATGAACCATATGTACTCAAACCTAAAAATTTCGAGGATTTGGTTGTATAAAACATCTTCCTTTCTTAGCCCATTTTACTACATTTAACTTGGATAAGCTCATGAGGAAAACTTTTGAGCAGAAGGATTGCTTTATTGCTACTAGCTTGTGAACACTATCCACACTTCTAAAAATCTCCATCTTAAATTCTAATTTGTGTTTTCACTTGTTAAATAGAGATTGGTTAGTATGCAAAAACTTACCCTGGGTCACATGAGAAGTAGATTTCTGAGGTGAATAATATGTCAGTTGGTATAATTATATGACCATTTTCTATTTTTCCAGGATCAGGACATGATTTTTCTAGAAGACAGTAGAAATTTTTTTTATTATTAAGTTATTAGGCTCATCTACTCAAATTCATCATCTGAAGCACTGGTAATCTCTTATCCAGAGGCTGATTAAATCCTACAGTCATTTTATAAGTTTCAAAGAAGCAGCCTATTTAGGAGTATATACTTTTTTCATTTCACTTAAGGTAATCTTAAACTAAGTGTGAAATCGGTGCATCAATTACTATTCCTATCTCTTCAAGTATTTAGTTTGCCTAATTATAATAAAACTAGAGGCCAGGTGCATGAAAATTGTGCACGGCTAGGGTCCCTATGCCTGGCTGGCGATCAGGCCCTTCCAGCTGCTGATCAGGGCTTTCCTTCATTCTGTGCCATCCCCTGGTGGTCAGTGCATGTTATAGCAAGCGAGTGAACTCCCTGTCAAACTTCCGAGGGGACACTTTGCATATTAGCCTTTTATGTATATAGATGATTCTAATCATTCTTTTTTTTTTTTAATCATTCCAAATAACAATATATACACACAGACTTCAAGCATGAATAGAAGATTAAATACTATTTCCCCAAATACCATACATTTTGAAATATTATTTAAATTTATACTCACTATAGCAAAATACTTCTGATTTGCTCCACGTATAATCCTGAAGGCAAGTTACGTTCCCTGATACGGAATGGTTCCTTGCGAAGCCCGGATTACACTCATATTCCACAATGAAACCCGCTGGGTAAGAACTCACTGGGATATAAACATCTTTCTTATGTGCATAAGGTACTCTGGGTGTAGGCCCACAGCTACCTAAAAACATTACCAAACCAACAACAACAAAGAGTCATATCACTTTATTTCATAATCTATATTTAATTATTGGAACCATCTGTCTTCACATCCCCTCCCTTTTGCATACTTCTTTGTACACATTTGGCACTTAGCTATATGAATATCAATAGGGCATTTATAGGGTATCAAGCATATTCAAATATATGCTTTTGTTTCCTAATGACTAGAGGCCTGTGAAGTAGATTGAGCACATAGGTGTCACTTAGGCCCACAATTCGAAGAATATAACCCGTGTAAGTTGCATGGCACAGTTCTGGCACCGACTCAATACACGCAGGTTCCCTGGCCCTGCCTGCCCCCTGTGGCACCGGGGTAGATGACATATTCCCACCCCCTGGCTAATGTCGGGGGCAATGACAGTTAGAGTAACAACAAAAGCTAATATTTATGGGATGCTTCTAAACATTTTCTGCAAGCAAACTCATTCAATCCCACAGCAACCTCCGGGGGCAAGGCTCAGAGGAGCCGATGTGTACATTCCAGTGTTTATAAACTTGAGCCATCTGGGCAAACAGGAATTGATGGAGGCACGGGACCATTGGATTTATTGTTCAAACACTCAAGTTTGAACCTGGGCTCTTCTGTGTAAGAACTGCGGGTGTTAAGGGAGTTAACTTTTCAGGACCTGTTTCCTCAACTGTGAAATGATGGAACTGTCTGGAGGATTAAAGGAAGAAATAGAGGTGGTAGAGTAACAGGATACATGTTAAGATAAAATAAAAAATAAAAAAAATGTTGCTGAAACCGGTGAGGCTCAGAGCATCGGCCTGCGGACCCTTCAGAAGGGTCCCAGGTTCGACTCCGGTCAAGGGCATGTACCTTGGCTGCGGGCACATCTCCAGTAGGGGGTGTGCAAGAGGCAGCTGATTGATGATTCTCTCTCGTCGATGTTTCTGGCTCTCTAGCCCTCTCTCTTCCTCTCTGTAAAAAAAAATCAATAAAATATATTTTTTTAAAAAGTTAGAGCCCATTTAAAAAAAAAATATTGTGGTGGCAGTTTCTATCAATATGTATGCTGTCGCTTCCAATGCTCCAAACTTGTTCAATGGCAGGAATCAAATCTTATCTTTATACCTTCTTGTCTATGTCAAAATTACGATTGGGCCATATATAAGTTTTGAGGTACAGGTAAGAGACACTCCAGTGTTATACTTGGTAAGTCCTTCTTTAGGAAATCTATACCATGTGTCTCACTGTAATTACCCAACATGCTCCTATTCAAGTTATTCCCTAAACAACAACAGTAACTACTGGTTATTTTCTCTTAGTCAGTTCAGGAGATACAGTGTGGGGAGTGGGACGGGGCTATTAATGAAGAAGCAGGATCTAGTCCCAGAAGTAATACCATTAACTAGCTGGAGTGTGAAGTGCTAACACGTATATCCTGGGGTGTAACAATGCCAGGAAAGTACCAATTGCCAGTCACTGGGAAGAGAGATATATTTTAACTTAACACATTCCATTCCCATAACTTTTTTTTTAAAACATATGCTTTTATTGCTTTTAAAAAATATTTTTAGAGAGAGGAGAAGGGAGAGGGACAGAGAGAAACACCAATGAGAGAGAAACAAATGGAATGAGCTGCCTCCTGCATGTGCCCTACTGGAATTGAGCCTGCAACCCTGGCATATGCCCCCACTGGGAATTCAACCAGCTACCTCTTGGTGCATGGGAGGAAGTGCAAACCATTGAGCAACACCGGTCAGGGGCCCCATCACTTTTCTAAAAAGAAAGGAAGAACTTACGTTGGCAAAATACTTCAGGCTTTGTCCATTGACCATTTGGAAGACAGTGCACTACGTTTACCTTTCCAATAATTTTCACAAAACCGGGATTGCAATAGTATCCTACTATGGTTCCTACAGGAAAAATCGTACGATTTTCCAACAGTACTGTAGCATTAGGCATATCTGGGGGGAAACCACAGTCACCTAGAGATGAAAAAAAAAGAGAAAAAAAAAAAGAAACTCAAGAAAAGACCATGTTTCCATTGAGAGCAAAAGGGAAGCAGCCATGCCTTTTGACACACATTTTGATCCAGTGCCGACTGGCTTCCAATCTTGACAATGGATTCAAGGCTAACATAAGGCGAGAATGAACCCCTCCCCTCCCATTATTTTGTGAGGTGGTTTAGTATTTCCCTGCACTTAGATACGGTTGCTATGCACACCATGAAGACTGAGTCCAGGCTGGAAGGCCAGGCGGGGAGATGTGCAGTTATAGGTGTGGCCCCAGGTGCTGCACAGCCCTGGACTCTGGTTCGGGGCCAGCGTGGTGGGTTATCTGGCCTCCCGCCCTGAAAGATGTTGGGGGGTTGACAGGTCCCCCCAGCCCAGCACTGCCTTCCTGCTTCCCAGTGTCCAGCTGCTCTGCAGACTCAGCTGCTGCTGTCTCAGCAACTCGCACCTCACTCCTAAAACCCTGCCATTTGGGATCCCCCCCCCCACGGCAAGACCCCTAAGAGCTGGTTAGCAGCAGAGATCCTCTTCCTGTCCCGTGGGATAAGGCCAGTAGGAGCCCTGATCTTTATTTATTTTATTTTATTTTATTATTTTTATTTGTCAGTTTTAACATGTGTGATTTATTTTTCAGAATTAGCTGGGTCATCAAACTTCTGTTTAAATACTAAAAATATCGAGCAAATATGTCACCCCTTAGTTTTCCACCAAAGAAACCAATTTATCAGATTTCAAATCTGAGGTTTGTGTCATGAAGAAAAACTTAGCATATTGATAGTCATCGTACAGTAAACAAACAAACAATAACCTGATTGGGTAAATTTAGTGTTTTCAATTGTTGTTGTTGTTGATCCTCACCCAATGTTATTTTTTCTTTTTTTATGGATCATGGTATCACATAATGGTCCTCATCCCCCCATTCTCCCTCCAAACTCCTCCCCGCGTATGCCCCCACCCCCTGTTGTCTGTGCCCATTGGTTAGGCTCATGTGCGTGCACACAAGTCCTCTGGTTGATCTCTCCCCTTTTTCCCCACCCTCCTCTGCCTTCCCTCTGAGGTTTGAGAGTCTTGATGGCTGCTTCCCTGTCTCCGGGTCAGTTTTTGTTGATTATTTCCCCTAGATGCCTGAGATCGTGTGATACAAAAGTAGAGGATTACAGGGAACAAGGACCCATGCCCACACACATCCCTCACCTTCCCAGAACCCCAACTTCTTGGTTGCCAGCCTCCGCCCCCTCCAACTCTCCTCCCTCCCCTACACACACACACACACACACACACACACACACACACACACACACACACACACACACACTCAAGCTCAGGGTTCCCCCCGCTGGGCTGGGTCCCCCCACTCACCCCGCGCAGCGTGTGGGCACCACAGCAACCGCAACAGCAACAGCCCCAGCGAAGGGGCCAGCCGGGCGGGGAGGCGCAGCGCGGCGGGGGCGCTCCTCCGGGCGGGACGCATGGCGCGGCCACGGGGACCCAGCGCCCGCGCTCAGCAGCCTCCACCCAGAGATCCGAGAGATCCAAGAGACCCGGCGGGCTGCGGCGTGGCTCGGTAGGCAGCAGCGGAGCGTTCTTGTCCTGCAAATCAATTTAAATGAGCGCCCTGGGTGGTTCAGGGCTCTGAATCACCAAAGGGTGGGGCCGAGGGCAGCGGAGCAGGGGGTTAGCTCGCGCCAGGTGCTGGGCGGAGTGAGGGCGGGGGCGCCAGCGTCACCGGCCCCCCGGGGACCCCTGTCTGTGGACCTGGGGTCCTGGGCCCGGAGCTCAGCTCTCTGGGACAGTTTTTTTCTCTTTGCTGCTGGGGTGGGGCCTGCGACGAGCAGCCCTCTGGAAAAAAAAAAAAAGCGAAGATCTGCTTTCTAGGTAAACACAAATATTGGGGGGCACAGAGGAGATGGGGAGTGTTTCAAGTGGCCAAGCTTGGCGCCCCAGGAACCTGATGAGAGGACCTCAGGCGCCGGGGGCTGCCAGGCTGAGCGGCAGGAGCGGGGGGATTGCGAGGCTTGGAGCTGAATAGTGCCCCCCCACCCCGACCCTGCCACCCCCGACCCCCTCCCAGGGACGTGGTGCCTGCGACCAGGGGGTCTGTCCGATGCCAAGCAGAGGACGCGAGAGTAAGTAGTCTTCCAGGGCGCTAGGCAATGGGAAAATGCAAGTGTGAAAGGAGGTGAAAAGCAGGTGGAGCAACACGGGGGAGGGACTGTTGCTCATACCAGGTCTGGGCGGAACCGCTGCCGGCGCTCTCGGTGAATTCCACTCTGGGACTAATCTAGTCTGACTGCAGTGAGAAATTCACCGTAGGCTGGGGAGGAGTGGAACAGGACACCACAAACACCAAGCGCCAGAAAGCAAGATGATAGGGCGGTGGGTTTTAAAAGAAAGGTTTGCTAGAAAGTTTTAAGTCTATGTCCGTGGGTTGGGTGGCTGGCCATACACTGGAATGAGTCACAGGAGGAGATTTTTTTTTTTTTTAAATCCAAATGTCCCAGCTACACCTCAACTGGGTTACATGGGAATGGCCGGGGCATCAGGACTAGTGAAAGGGCTTCAGGGAAGTAGTTCCACTGTGCAGCCGGGTGGAGGACAGTGATTTAGATGGTACTGGCCGCAGCACAGAGTCCCTCAGCCCAGCGCTGTGCCTGTCAGGCACTAAAGGGCATCAGTGGCAAGGCCAGATGCTCACACGCGTGGGCAGTAACCTCAAGAACGTGTTTCCCTTCAGTAACTTCCTCAGTCTGGTTAGCAGAGTCCTAGCCTAGCTTTCCTGTCTGCGCCTCAAACACCTTGGGAGTATGCCTTAGTCCCTCGACCAGCAGTGGGGCTACTTGTTGCATTCTGTCCTAATATTCCTCCTGAGATGCTTCTTGATTGTTCCTTGTGGGTCAATAGGAGCTTTATAAAGAGGAAAACACCACTTTCCAACAGGAGCGCTTTTCTCTGACTCCTGCTTACTTACACTGAACAGAAGCCTGGGTCACCCAGTCCTGGAACTGATCCTTTTGGGATTCCAGGAAAGGAACTCCTGTAATCGTTCATAAAAACCTGTCACTATTAAAACATGCTAGAATATAGAAGTTGGGCTTCTAAAACCATGCAGGTGTCCTCAAACTTTTTAAAGTGGGGGCCAGATCACTGTCCCTCAGAGAGCTGGAGGGCCGGACTATATGAACTACTAATTCCTACTGTAACACCTCGACTGCGCTCACTGCCCAAAAAACCTGGCTGGCCGGATCAGACTCCTCTGCGGGCCGCATGTGGCCCGCGGGCCGTAGTTTGAAGACCCCTGTGTGACTCTCACATTTTATATTAAACCGCCTTACTTTTACTTTCATATTCTATATAATAAAAGCCTAATATGCAAATTGCCCCCTCGACCAGGAGTTCGACCAGGGGGTGGGGCTGGGCTGGCCAACTGCAGTGAGGGAGACCCCGGCTGGCATCTGGCAGCCATTTGGGACCCTACCCAGGCTCGTATTTCATGCACTGGGCCTCTAGTTTGATATAAAAACACTAAGTTTATCAGGGTCCAGCTGTGTTTGAGAAGTGATACCAGGGCTTCATTTATTCTCCCTAAGTGCTCCCAGAACCTTGCCCACCACACCCTTCTGCCAGGCCAGTATGGGCAGGTAGTCCTTGTTTCTGCTTGAGCTCATAGAACTGGTGTGAAAGGCAACATAGCTCCATGACAAGGAGCTGAAGGTCAAGATCAGTCATGGAGCTGCCAGACTTAAATTTAGAGGTATATATTTATTAAGTGAATATAATAGTTTTTTTTTTAATCCAGAAAAGAAAAAAAAAATGAACTTTGCAAAGTGTCACAAAAAAAAAAAATTATCTCTGTCACCCAGCAACATTGAATTCTCTAAGCATTCACTTTCCAAAACACATGGTTCTTGATAATACATTGAAAAAAAGGAACTTTTATGAGAAATAATTGGGTGACTCTTAGTAACACTTCAGGCCACTTCCAAAATTTCAACATTCCGAGGGCAAAGAAGAAAGAGAAATCCACTATTCCTTTACTCAATTCAGAAAAAGTTCCTAGGATGAAAATGTATGCATTATTAAGAAACACTAAATATACAAATGTGTAACTTGTTAAATTACTTTAAATAATGACCTCAAATTGCTGTGGTTTCAGTCATTTCCTATAATACGTTTTACCTTGTCACCAACACAACTTCATGAACTGGGAATAATTGCCCACATTTCATAGATGAGGAAACAAGCGGAGAGTTATTGTAATTAACCAAAATCTGAGCTGCTCAGTAAGTGACCAGGCCAGAATCTAAATCCAATTTGTTTGATTCCAAACCTAAACTTAACCTCTTTTATTCTACCACACTGCATTCTTTTTTACTGCAGGCAGTCAGCAAAGGTATCTTCTGTATGGAGGCCACGGAATTAGGTATTTTGGGAGGTTGATTTGAGAACCAAGTTCCTTTTGGTGTCAACAATAAGTAGACCTGAGTCTTCAGACTTAATCTACCAGAAGCTGGTTAATCGTTCTAAGCCCAGTCACCTTACCCCTCAGGGTTTCATTTCCACATTGGTTAAGAAAGACTTTAGAACTAAAATAATCTCTGTAGAGTTTTCCAATTCCAAAATGATAAAATTAGGTTAAAAATTAGTAATAGAAAGCAGGTCTATGCTTTTTGCAGAAAAGAGTTAACACAGCTTTCACCCCTGTCTCAGGAACCATACAGGGACCACATCAAAGACTTTTAATAAATTGGAGATCATCTAGTATTTAAAAGCATAGTAAGGAAAGGGCCAATACTTGCATTCAGGAATCTCTAATTGTGATATATAAGAAACTGTGATTTTCAAGAAATGTATATTGAGTCATCCAGACAATCTAAATATATTTCTTATGTATATTTGTTTTTTGTCCACAATTCCTGGCTCACAGTTCTCAGGAACTCTTGGAATTTTCTAAGCATTGAGACTGAAAAAGTTGTTTTCTTAAAAAATATATTTTAAATACATTCTTATTTATTTCAGAGAGGGAGAGAAAGGTAGAGACATCAATGATGAGAGAGAATCATGGATCAGCTGCTTCCAGCATACCCCACACTGGGGATAGAGCTTAACAGCCTGGCAGGTGCCCTGACCAGGAATCAAACCATAATTCATAGTTCAGCACTCAACCACTGAGCCATGCCTGCCAGGCCTGAAAAGGTTGTTTTTCTGTTATGTTAAAGAAGGCAACTTTTGGACTTCACAAAGGAATGGGGTCTGATTGGCAATGGAACCAACCATGTCATTAGAGGGTTAGAATTTTAAGTCCATCCTGGACCTCCAGGAAAGAGAGGTTAGAGGTTAAATTGATTCCCAATGGCAATTAGTTAATCAGTCAGAACTGCAATGAAGCCAACATAAAAACTCAAGAAGATTGGATCCGGGAAGGTTCAGGGTTGGTGAACACGTGTTGTTGCCAGGAGAGTGGTGCACCTGGAGAGGGCATGGGAGTTTTACCCCCTCTCCCCCCTCTACCCCATACTTCATGCATGTCTGCTTTCTAGCTGTTGCTGAGTTATAGCCTCTTACAATCAACCAGTGATCTAATAACTAACAGGTTTCCCTGAGTTCTGTGACCCGATCTAGCAAATGAATTGAACCCACAGACGGAGATGCGGGAACCTCTGACTTACAACCAGTTGATTAGAAGCACAGGTAACCACCTGGAAGTGGCATTCTCAGAGGAGGGTTTGTTGGAACCTCCAATCTGTGGCCAGTTGGCCAGAAGCACAGAAGCCCGGGCTTGCTGCTGTCATCTGAAGTGTGTGTGTTTGCAGGGAAGGCCAGTCTGGTAGGACTGAATCCTGAACCGGTGGATTTCGATGCTATCTTTGTCTCTAGGTAAATAGTGTCAGAATGGACGTGACTTCTTGGACACCCTACTGGTGTGCAAAAAATTGTTTTTTGTTTGTTTGTTTTTGGGGGGAGGCATTCTTGTAGGACTAAATTCTTAACCTGTGTGATTCCATGCTATCTCAGGTAAATAGTGTCAGAGTGCTGAGAATTATTTATTGGTGTTGATATAAATTGATATAAATTCCCCCTCAGGGAATTTACTTTTAACAAGTTCTACCAGGGAGGTAGAATAAATGGGACAAATGTTATGGAAATGCCTCAACCAATGTAGTGTGGGTGTGTGTTCAGAAAAGAGAGAGAGAAACCTGGCCAATAAGGGTGGAAGAGGCTCATTCATGGTCTAGTGGCTTGGTTAAATAATGACAAATATGTCAATGCAATAGGGAAAGTAGGAAAAGGAAGAAGAATGGCATGGCAAAGACACAACTATGAAAGCCATTTGTGTTTCCAGGCCGGTTCTTATCAAAGAAATTTGGATGGAAAAACCTACAGAATTTGGTGACTGATTAGATAAGGAACAAGAAAAAAAGCGGTAAGATAACTCAGAATTTTGGGGGGTGTGCCCTATTTTGAAATGTGTCTGCGTGGTTGTTGTTTATTTAAAGTGGCTTAGCAGCCGAAACCGGTTTGGCTCAGTGGATAGAACTTCAGTCTGCGGACTGAAAAGTCCCAGGTTCCATTCCGGTCAAGGTCATGTACATTGGTTGTGGGCACATCCTCGGTAGGGGGTGTGCGGGAGGCAGCTGATTGATGTTTCTCTTCTCATCGATGTTTCTGGCTTTCTATCTGTAAAAAATCAATAAAATATATTTTTTAAAAATAAAGTGGCTTAGCAGAGTGTCTGTGTGGAGATGCACAGATGAGGTGGAAATGTTGGAGGAGACATGGCTGAAAACGAGGTAACCAAGGGAGAGAGTTAAACAGAAACTCCAAGAGGCCCACGGGGTGAGCCCTGGGGACGGACCCCCAAATTAGAGTACAATGAAGGGGAAGGAGAAGGTAGTGGAAAGAGAAGAGGATAATGTGATTTCCTGTAAATCCATGGATACAAAACTGTGAGCCAAATAGTATCACCCACCAGGTAGGTGAGGTGGCTGGTGTTTAGGAACACTGTGTAACCAGCCCCAACCACGTGGCTTGTGAGGGGT